TATTCCTAACCTGAATTCCCGTATTTATTTCCAGATTTATTCCTAAATTTATTCCCAGATTTATTCTCAAATTGATTCACAAATTGATTCCCAAATTATTGATTCCCATGACGTATTCCCAAATATATTCCTAAATTGATTTCCAAATTGATTCCCAAATTGATTCCTAGATTTATTCCCAGATTTGTTCCCAAACATTTATTTAATTAAGTAATTAATTAAGTAATTAATTCCTTGACTTGCAGGTGGTGTTTGCGACGCCTGGAATGCTCCACGCGGGACAATCCCTTCAAATCTTCAGGAAATGGGCGGGGAATGAGAAGAACATGGTAAGAAATTGAATTTTTGGGGTTTTTTAAATTGTAAAAAATCAGATTTAAAAATTTATTTTAAGAATTAAATAAAGAAATTTAATTTCAGGGKGCTTTTTGTGTTTGTGTGAGTCCTAAACACTGAGATTTTAGGAAAGCTTTTCCTCAAGATTTGGGATTTAAACAAATCCTTTTCGAACCAGAGCTCTCCAAGCTCCAAATTCGGGATTATTTTAATGATAAAATCCCAAATTTTATTTGTGGGGCCTAATCTAAATTCCAACAATCCAAAATTGTTGATTTTCCTGTTTTTTTGGGGTTTTTTTTCCAGGTGATCATGCCTGGCTACTGCGTCCAGGGAACCGTTGGCCACAAAATCCTCAGCGGGCAAAGAAAACTGGAGATGGAAGGAAGACAAATTGTGAGTTTGGRTTTTAATTTGGGGAAAATTCTTAACCAAAAATACCGAAAATACCCCAAAATTATATTTTCTTTGGAGTTGGACTTGGATTTTTTCTCCCTTTGAATTTAATTTCTGCCCTAAAACTTTTAGGGCCACTTTATAAGATTTAATAATGAAATTGCTTTGGTCAAAGAGGTAAAAATTATATATTTTTAAGTGGATTTGGATAATAAAATACCTCAAAATAATCTTTTCTTTGGAGTTACACTTGGGGGTTAATTATCCCCAATAATTTTTGCCATAAACCTTTTAGGGCCACTTTATAACATTTAATAATGAGACTTCATTAATCAAAGAGATAAAAAATTAATCAGATTTGGAGGGTTTTTTTCCCTTTTACATTAATTTCTGCCCTAAAACTTTTAGAGGCCACTTTATAACATTTAATAATGAAACTCTTTTAAGCAAATAGGTAAAAATGACACATTTTGAAGCAGATTTGCATCATAAAAATGATTCTGCCTTAAAATATTTGCCTTTTTTTGTGTCAAATGCCTCCTGAAATGCCACACTTTGACCTTTAATTCACGCCACCTTCTCTTCAATGCCATTTAGGATTTCTCCCTGCTGTTTTTACCCAAATCCCGAGGGTTTTTGTGAATTCCTGATCATTCCCACTCCTCCACTCTGCTTTTTTCCACAGTTGGAGGTGAAAATGCAGGTGGAGTACATGTCCTTCAGCGCCCACGCCGACGCCAAGGGCATCATGCAGCTCATCCGCCAGGCCGAGCCCCGAAACGTCCTCCTGGTGCACGGGGAAGCCAAGAAAATGGAGTTCCTGAAGCAGAAAATCGAGCAGGAATTCCGTGGGTACCCATGGGAAGGGATGGCTCTGAAATTGCGGCGAAATCGCTGCAAACTTGTGGCGAAATTGCAGCGAAATCGGCAAAATTACGGCAAAATCGGCCTTTGGGTTACGGGTTTTGATTATGGCACAGGAAGGGGATAAAAGGGTTTTATTTTGGGGTTTTGATGCACAGGCATGGGGAAGGGATTTCCTGAAGCAAAAAATGGAGCAGGAATTCCGTGGGTACCCGCGGGAGGGGACGGCTGTGAAATCGCAGTGAAATTGCAGCAAAGTCGCAGCAAAATCAGCGAAATCACGGCAAAATCGGCCTTTGGAATATGGGTTTTAGTTACCTGTTAATGCAGGCACAGGGTAGGGGGTAAAAGGGTTTTATTTTGGGATTTTGGTGCACAGGCATGGGGAAGGGATTTCCTGAAGAAGAAAATTGAGCAGGAATTCTATGGGTACCCATGGGAGTGGACGGCTCTGAAATTGCAGCGAAATCGCTGCGAAATCGCAGCAAAATCGGCTTTTGGGTTATGGGTTTTGATTATGGCACAGGAAGGGGATAAAAGGGTTTTTTTGGGGGGTTTTGATGGGATCTCAGGTACACAGATGTGGTTAAGGGAATTCCTGAAGGAGAAAATTGAGCAGGAATTCCGTGGGTACCCACGGGAGGGGACGGCTCCGAAATTGCTACAAAATCGCAGCGAAATTGTGGTGAAATCGCAGCAAAATCACGGCAAAATCGGCCTTTGGGTTATGGGTTTTGATTATATTACAGCACAGGGAATGGGGTAAAAGGGTTTGGTTTTGTGGTTTTGGTGCACAGACGTGGAGAAGGGAATTCCTGAAGCAAAAAATGGAGCAGGAATTCTGTGAGTACCCATGGGAGGGGACGGCTCTGAAATTGCAGCGAAATCGCTGCGAAATCGCAGCAAAATTGGCAAAATCACAGCAAAATCGGCTATTTCAAAAATGATCAGGCATCACTCAGCAGAATTAGGCGGGGTGCCATTTCCAGCTCCCCTATAGGAACTGCTGCCATAATCCCATAATTAACCCTAATTAAGCACAGCTAATTGGAGCTGTTCTCTGCAGATGTCAGCTGCTTCATGCCTGCCAACGGAGAGACCACGACCATTGTCACCAACCCCTGCATCCCCGTGGACATCTCACTGGGTCTGCTCAAGAGGGA